TGTACATAAAGCCCTGAAAGAGAAAAATTTCCAACCAAGCATTATGTACCAAGCAAAGTTGTCCCTCAAATATGATGAGGAAATTAGAATATTTCTAGATAAGCAGAAATTAAAGGAATTTGTTAAAACCAGACCAACTTTACAAGAGATACTAAAGGGAGTCCTTTGGACAGAGAAGCAACAACAACAAATAACAACTGACCATTAACACACATGATGACATAACCTAGAAACCAGATCAGTTATTTGTTGTTGTTGTTGTTGTTGTTTGCCATTAAGTCAGCCCTGACTCATAGTGACCCCTCCTTGGGTTTCCGAGGCAGTATCACTACGGAAGTAGGAATGCCCAACTTATGGAAGTATCCAAACTAAATAAGCCTACAGATTGTAAACAGGAAACCAGAGACATCAACTGACAAATGAAGACAACTACAAACCAAAAAGAGGGGAAAATTTTGTCATTATAGAACTTCTAAATGGTAGGGAAGTCAAGATAACTACAAGATAGAACGGATTGTTCTAAACTTGGGAAGAAAACCATAAATCACAGGGTAGCTTCAAAGAAAAATGATAAACCTTCACATCAAAATAAAAAAGATGACCAGAACAAACATTTAGCAAATACTAAAACAATGGTGAAGAAGGAAGTGATAACACAATTCATAAACAAAATGAGTGCACCACAGAAAATTATATGCAACAAAGAAATCAACACTACAAAAAAGCACATAACAAAAATGACAGCAACAAATTCATACTTGTCAATAATTACATATCTGGCAAAGGACTTATCTCTAAGATTTATAGAAAACTCCAATGCTTCGACAGCAAAGGAATTAACCATCCAGTTGAAAAATGGGCAGAAGACATGAATAGACACTTCACCAAGGAGGATATTCAAGCGGCCAACAAACAGCAAAAACATGAAGAGATCACTGGCCATCAGAGAGATGCAAATCAAAACAACAATGAGATACCATCTCACCCCAGCACTGATGGCAAGACTCAATGAGACAGAAAATAATAAATGCTGGCAGGGATGTGGAGAGATTGGGATTCTCATACACTGATGGTGGGGCTGAGAAGTGATACAACTACTGTGGAAAGCAATATGGCGATTCCTTAGAAAGCTGGAATTTGAGATACCATTTGACCCAGCAATCCCATTACTAGGTATATATCCTAGAGAGGTGTGATCCAGGACAGGAATAGATATATGCACACCCATGTTCATTGTCGCACTACTTACAACAGCAAAAAAGATAGAAACAACCTACATGCCCATCAGTGGAAGACTGGATGACCAAACTATGGTACATATACACAATGGAATGCTATGCATCACTAAAGAATAAGGTTGAGTCTTCAAAACACTGCATAACATGGATGAACTTGGAGGACATTATGCTGAGTGAAATAAGTCAATCACAGAAGGACAAATGTAGTATTAGTTTGTTGTTGTGGAGGGTCAAGGAAAGGTTTATATATGGAGGGTATGGAGGGAAACTTTCTGTGTTGGTTGCCAGGGGTAGGAGGGGAGGGGAGGGGACACTAAAAAAAAATGCATTAACCTATGTCACTTTAGTTTTGTTTATTTCACTGTACATAAATTATATTTCAATAAAATGCATTAAAAAGCTTAACAATTCTTCCCATAGTTTTAAGAATAATGTTCAAAAATCCCTGATATGAATTACAAGGCCCTTCACCTAATTCCTTATTTCCACCTCTTGCCAGTCCCTCTACACAGATATTCTACCACCTAACTGAATTTCACTCAGTTCTTCCATTGTGCCTTGCTGTTTCTGGGCCCTACAAAAACTGTTCTCATTTCTTGATGTGGCAGTATCTGCTTATTACCTATCCCAACCTTCATTTTCCTTCACCATCTTGTAACAAATCCTGAATTTGTGTGGGATGTCATGCACCCAATTACAACTACATTTTTTAGTTACTCTTGCAGCTAGGTAAGGACATATAACTAAATTCTTGCAATATTACATAAATAAAGTGTAGGACTCTCCTGGGAAATATCTCCAAAAATAGAGTTGAGAGATTCTCTTCTTTATTGCTTTCTTCTATTCTACTGCCTAGAATGAAAAGATGATGGCTGGAGATATGGCATCTGTGATGGTTCATGTTATGTGTCAATTTGGCTAGGCTATGATTCTCAGTGGTTTGGCAGATAATATGTAATCATTATGTAATGAAAACTAAGTGCCATGACCCAAGCCATGGTACTTTCATTTGTCTCATATGCATGTGAAAGCTAGAAAATGAATAAGGAAGACCAAAGAAGAATTGATGCCTTTGAATTTATGGTGTTGCTGAAGAATACTGAACATACCACGGACTGCCAGAAGAACAAATCTATCTTGGAAGAAATACAGCCAGAATGCTCCTTATAAGTGAGAATGATGAGACTTTATCTCTCATACTTTGGTCATGTCATCAAGAGGGACCAGTCTGTTGTGCCTGAGGAGGACATCATGCTTGGTACAGGGTCAGTGAAAAAGAGGAAGACCCTTAATGAGATGAATTGGCACAGTGGCTGCAACAGTGAGCACAAAGAGCAACGACGGTGTGAATGGCACAGGACCAGCAGTATTTCATTCTGTTGTACATAAGGGTTGGTATGAGTAGGAATGTACTCAATGGCACCTAATAACAAATACTCCTCATTTTGTGACCAGATGTGAGCACCCAATCAGTTGGAAGAGGATATTCCTTGAGGGTGTGGCATGCATCCATGATATAAATGGATGTTCTGGCAAAGATCTGTCTTGATCCTGTGTTTCATCATTGTCTGACCTGCAGTTCTTGAAAAGTGAGATGCTTTCAACCTTCCTGACTTGCAGAATTTGGATTTGCTGGCTCCTGCAACCTTGTGAACAAACAGCCTGCTGCCTGACCTACAGATTTTGGATTCATTAGTCTCTGTAACCATGTAAGTCAGGAGAAGCTTCCAGCCTACCACTTTGCCCATGGAATTGGGACTTGCCGTCCTCAACAACTGCATGAGTCATTTCCTTGCAGCAAATCTCTTTATATATACTTATATATGTATATATGCTTCACTGGTTTTGCTCCTCTACATAACTCAGGATAAGAGAGAAGCCACCTTTGATAACGTGCATGAGTACCACACTCTATGAATGGCAGAATAGTAAGCTAGAAGGAGCCTATGTTCCTGATGACTTTGTGAAGCCAACATACCAGCTCTAGGTTGTCTTTCAAGATGTTTACCTGAAAAACTAATTTTATATTGTTTATGCCTTTTTTTTTTTTTTTTTTTTTTGCTTTGTCTTGTCTTCAGCCATATAAGCTGAATGTAAGTTAAACTAATATCCCTGGAAAATTGTTCATCCTTTCTTCCCATTTCCTCTATCCCACTCCCCACTGGCCAGCTACTCCTACTCTTCTTTTAGATGTTAGAATGTCATCTAGCAAGTTGCCTATGACCCAGACTAAGTTAGATTAGGCACTTCTGCTATGTATTACTATAGTACCTTCTGCTTTCCAAGTAAGAAACTAACCATACTCACAGCCATAGAGTCAGTTCTGACTCATAGTGAACCCCATAAGGTTTCCAAGGCTGTAAATCTTTACAGAAGCAGACTGCTTTGTCTTTCTCCCACAGAATGGCTGGTGGGTTCACACTGTGGACTTTTTGGCTAGCAGCTGAATGTTTTACTCACTACACCACTAGCACTTTTTGTCAGAGCAGCTATATTTTATTAGAACTGCTTGCTGAGCATGTCCTTTCTGCTAGACTAGACTAGAATGCAAGAATGAGCCTATCCTCAGGGAGAACAATATGGAACAAAACTCAAAACCATTTGGGAAAAAAAAAGTGGGGAACAGGTTTGCTGGCCCGATGGAGGCTGGTGGAACCACTGAGACTATGGCTCCTAGCTGCCCTTCAGGTCTGGAATTGAGCTCACACCTGTGGCTTCCAGCCAAACAATAGACAGGCATATGAGTTGAACATTTACCTGAGGTAGATATACTCCTTGGAGAGAACAAGCATGGGAGAAAGAAGGGCTGTTTATGCACAGGGAGACAGCTCAGGGGGTAGGAGTGCATGGAGTGATGGACACAGGGAGGAGGTGGCTGTCAGGAGGAAGTGGGAGGGGAGATGTTGCATTGTGGTGAATTGTGGTCAATGCCATGAGACAAAGTGTATGTGAACTGCTGTAGGGAAAGTGAATTTGCTCTGTGAAATTTCACCCAAATTATAATAAAAAGAAAGAAAAAAAAAAAAAAAGAATGAGTCTATCCTTCCCATCATTGTATTCCAAAGACCTAGTACAATACTTGGCATATAATAGATGCTTATTAAATATTTGTGGTCTGATTAAATAAATAAGTGGTAACTATTATTATGAATTTATACTGGTAATCAGATCTGAGGCACTACTAAGGGAGCTTATACAGACCATGGTTGGTCTACAAGGATCTGTACCTATCCTAGAAACTTACACGGGTGATAAGTAGAAATAATTAATTAGTGGGTAGGGTATTTTGAGTCCTCTCAGATTTTCATACTTTCTTGGCTTTGAAATCTGAGGCTCCAAACCACTGTGATCCACCCAGAAGCTTTTTAAAAAGAGGTCAGCCATAAAACACAGTGAAATGCCAATGTGTATTGGTTCCAAAAGACTTACCTCAGATATTCCATAAGTTGTTGGAGTTTACATTCTAGTGAAGGTAATGATTGACAAACAAATGAATATACAACAATGTCATGTAGTGATACGTGTTGTAAAGATACATCATGGAAAGGTGGTGGAAATGATATGGGCTACACTTTTAGATATAGTGGTCAGAGAAGGTTTCTTTTAGTAAGTGACATTTGATCAAGACACAAATAAATGTAATACATATTAGAATTTCCTGAGGATAGTACTTATCATGTATATTTTCTAGGTACATATTTTAAAATTATAATGGACTAATCAGTAACATTTGTAAGCAATAGAAAATTTCAAAATACTTACCTCCAATAAATTTTCATTCTTTTGTTGAATTACATTTCGCAAGAGGTTGTGGCTCATGTTTATGACATCATGAGCATATAGTAAGCATTCTGACTGATAATCCCCACTCATAACATTGAAAATACCAATGCGTTTCTCAGTGGTCATATGCACGATATATGTAAGATATTTCCTGAATTTATCTAGTATTTTTCTAAACTGTGGTGAAGTTAATTCTCCTCCCATAGATGACATTTTCATACTCATGATTTTGGCTTTTTCCACCATGGTACAATACTTTAGAAATTTGCTGCTGTAAGAACTAACTATGCCCATTGAATTACCAATAACAGACAGGAGACTCACAATCTGTAAATAAAAATGATAAAAGAGCTTGAATTTTTATTTTTAAAGTAAAAATCCTGTAATTTAATAGCTAATAGTTTCTACTGAAATAAAATAATTTTCTTATGTGAAGTTCATTTTGCTATGAACCTGTATTAAATGTCTTAGTATGCTGGAAATAGAAGGCTTCAAAAAATTTAGATGACATCTTCATATTTTGCATTTACACAAAGACTTACTAAGTTATTTAATTATATAATTAACATATTATTTTCAGCCACATACTGGAAATACCAATTCATTTATTTTCTTCCTTGGCATCCTATTTTAAAGTTGATGTTCTATACACAGCCATGGAAAGAATAGCTGTATATCCCAGGTGACCTCACCCCATCCCCAAGGCATAGATAATTTGGATAGGTAGAATCTTGACCCAAGTTCAGTCAATTAGGTTCTCTTGGGAATTTGAATAAATTACCCAGGTAAAAGAGTTGGACTCACGGCAAACAAACACATTGAAAAGCCAGTATTATGAAGGAGCCATAAAAGAGAAAGTTCATTTGCATAGTTGGAAAAGACACACAGAAATAAGCATACATGAGAGATGACAGGGAAGACAGATCGGAAGACAAGCTGGGAATGGTTCTGCAACTGGCACGAATCATGACAGTCTAATCTTTCAATAAATATCTTCCATCAAAATAATTTCAGTGGGTTCCTGCTCTTTAAAGTAAGATGAACTTTTTCTAAGCTTACTTTATTTTGGTAGACAGGGTCCATTTCAAAAAGGATCTGACAATCTGGCCATCTGGTTTTCTTACATTCTCTTGCACTTTCTGTCTTATTAGGTAAATCCATAATGGAAGAAGCCAAATCAATAAAGATAGACATGCGGGGATCTCGGCAAAGAGGAATAATTGTGGCTAGAAAATATAAATCAAAGTTAGTGTTTTCAAAAATCCCACTGCAAACACTTATCCATGACATCTGGAACTATTGAAAAAAGAGGTTGATTTATTATGAAGACTAGATAGTACTCTATATTAATGGGTGGAATTTAAAAATAGGTGTAAATTTAAAAGAATAAACTATCTATGAATAAATTTAACAAGGAAGATGAAAGATTGGTAAACATAAAATTATAAACATTACTGAAATAAATTAAAAAATACCTAAATAAATAGAAAAACATTCAGTGTTCATGGAATGGAAAACGTATCATTAAGATGTGAATACTACTCAAAGCAATTTATAGATTCAGTGCAATACCTGTTAAAATTCCATCAGCCTTTCTTGCAGAAATGAAAGAGATAATCTTTAAATTCATATGGAATTAGAAAAGCAAGACTCAAACACCCAAAACAATCTTTAAAAAGATTTACTTCTTTTATTCATATTTCCTTGTTTCTAAACATACTTAAAACTATAGTTACCAAAATAGTGTGCTATTGACATAGATACAGACATATGGATCAACAGAATAGAATTGAAAACCCAGATATAAACACATTCATATATGACCAACTGATGTTCAATAAAGGTGCCAGGTCCATCCAATGAGGAAAAGATCATCTCTCCAATAAGTGATGTTGGAACAACTGGGTTTCTATATGCAAAAGAATGAAGCTGGACCACTAACTCACACCATATAGAAAATTTAATTCAAAATGGATCAATGACCTGATTATAAGAACTAAACCATGAGGCTTTTAGAAGAAAATATAAAGGTAAAACTTCAAGGTTTTTTTTTTTTTTTTTGACAACAGACTCTTAGATATGACACCAAAAGCACAAGCACTAAAAGAAAAAAGTAGATAAAT